TTACTGAAACCTGTACCAATGATTGTTAAGAAAGACAATTCAAAATGTAGGATCACAGTTTCTAGCCAATCTGAAAAGGCTAAGCTTTCACTGGTTTTGCCCATTTGTAATGTTAATACATACTGATGATTCTGTAGTTGTTCTTTGGACTTGGGCAGACATGGCTCTAGCAGCATGCTTATCCGTTTTCCCACTTTTGTCTGTTCTGTGATATTTCCTTGGACTTGGGCAGACATGGCTCTGGCAACATGCTCGTCCGCTTCCCACTTCTGTGCTTTTTGAATATATGCCGAATAAAACTTTCTCTTTCTTTACTAAACTTTATGATGTTTTTCCCATACAACAAATATTAGGAGCAACCTGACAAACTTTCCAGTGGGGAGAATCAGGTCCAGAGTTCTGACCTTCTCTCTGCTGTAGATTATCTTATTGTACTGATTGTAAGATGCATGTGTCCTCACATTTTAAACTCTCAGAAATTGGGATACATCTAGGTGGTAGTGGTAGTATGTAATGTTTGAACACAGTGTAAGTTAGCCCAAAATAAGGGTATATATATTCCACCATCCATACGTCAGTTTGTCACACTGTGATGGCTTGTGTGTTGCTGTGATATTGGAAGCTATGCCACTGGTAGAGGCTAGAAGGCACTCAAAATATGCAGTGGCCACAACAATGGACTCAAGCCTACCAACGATCATGGAAATGGTGCAGGACTGGACAATGTTTCATTCTGTTATACTCGAGTCACCATGCATCGGGGTCACCATGAGTCAGAGCCAACTCAACAGCAGCTAATAACAAGGGTTAATTGAAAGCGGTAATGAATAAGTGGAAAAATGAATAACCTAATTGACAAGAAAAATAACATTTCAGTTCCTTCATCTGTAAAATGGGGATATTAAGACAATTAAGGTTGGTGTGTGAATCCAGTAGGATGACAGATTAGCAAAATTGAAAAAGTTTAAGTGTCCTTGGAAAGCCCCAGATGCTCTACTCTCTTGCTTGTTTTACATCCCAGATGATGTTTCTAGGATAAAGTTAAAAACAAAGACAAGCGGGAAGGTAGAGTTGTGTTGAGATGAATGTTCCTTAGCCTCAGGGAAACAAATATACACGTGACCACAGGGACAGATGCAGGGTGGGTGACCTGTGGTTTGTGGGGGCAGGTGCAATCTGGCTGCCTTTAACCAAACCAGCAAGTCCTCTGACTGTACTAGTAGAAGAAACGTACCTAGTAAGGAGAGGTTGCATGTGCTGTTCTATCCTGTCAGACACTATTGGTGGAATTGGGCCAATACTGGGCACCAAATCCAAAGACCGACACAGATAAATTACAGGGACTGGCTGGTAGGTGGACTTAAGACCCTATTCTCTCATTCATTCATTCAGCAAATAGTTATGACTACTATGTTAGTTTCCTATGACTTCCGTAACAAATTACCACTCCAGTTGCCATTGAGTTGACTTGTACTCATGGCGACCCCATGTGTGCTAGGGTAGAACTGTGCTCCACAGAGTTTTCATTGACTGATTTTTCAGAAGTACGTTGCTAGGACTTTCTTCCAAGACACCCCTGGGTGGACTCGAACCTCCAAACTTTTGGTTAGCAGCCAAGAGCATTAACTGTTTACACCACCCAGTGACTCTAAAATTACCACTAACATTGGTTTAAACAACACGAATTTATTATCTTACAGCTGTGTAGGTCAGAAGTCTGATCTGAGTCTCACTGATGTCTTGTGGTTTTGGTACCTTTCTGTGGGCTCTGGAGAGGATTCATTTCCTGGTCTTCTCCAGCTCCTAGAGGCCTCCCATATTCCTTAGCTCATGGCCCTATTCCTCCATCTTCAAAGCCAGCAATGGCAGGTCAAGTCTTTCTCATTCCAGCATCTCTCTGACTCTCTGTCTTCTCTCTTTTTCACTGTTAAGGACCCTTGTGATTACATTGGGCCCACTCGGATCATCCAGGATGATCTCCCTATTTTAAAGTCAGCTGATTAGCAATCTTAATTCTATCTGTAACCTTAATTCCTCTTTGCCCTATAGTGTAACACAGTCATCGGTTCCAAGGGTTTGGATGTGGGCATCTTTGGGAGGACATTATTCTGCTGTCCATAAGATGTGTCAGGTACTGCGGTAAGTATACATTAGACAAATCCGAGGTGGTCTCTTGTCTCATAAGGAATGTACATTCTAGGAAGGAAGACAGATAGATATAAATGAAGTAGTAAAATATATCAAGTAATAAATAAGAAAAAGAAAACAGTATGGTACAGGGATAGAGTTACAGGGTGTAGGATGATGGGTTTTGATTGCATGGCCATGGAAAACCTCTCTGAAAAGATAACATATGAGCAGAAACCTGACTGTTAAGAAAGTGCCTCCAATCTGGAGAAGAACATTCCAAG